CCAAGTGCTTGTCGTGAAGGACGACATGAGTGGCTTTGTGCAGCTGTTCGCGGCAGAGTCCGCTGACGCCGCCGCGACCGCTCAGTGCCTGATGACGTGGTTTACCACGTTCGGCTGCGTTGACACATGGGTGTCAGATGGCGGTTCTCACTTCAAGAACGAAGTGATCGAGAAGGTGCGGAAGTTGGTGGGTGCCCACCATCATATCACGACAGCCTACAGTCCTTGGACGAACGGGACTGTAGAAGTAGTCAACCGACTAGTGCTGCGCGCCGTGAAGGCGCTGCTCAGCGAAATGAAGCTGAACGCGGAAGAATGGCCGCATGTGTTGCCCCTCGTTCAAGGCGCCCTCAACCATCAGCCTGCGGACCGGCTGGGAGGAATTGCGCCTGTGACAGCGTTTACCGGCCTGCCAGCCAAGACCCCGCTGGCAGGATTTGTCCACCCGACGTCCAAGGAAGGTTACGTCGCGGACTGGCTTGGCGCCGCCCGTCAGAAACATGTGACGGACCTCCAATTGGCGCTAGAAGAAATGCACCGCAACGTGGCGGTGCGAAGCGACAAGTTTCGTCAGCAAGCGCGTGGACGCCGCGACCGAAAGTCCCAAGTCAAATTTGCGGGCTTTTCGGTCGGCGATTTTGTGCTCGTCGGATCGGTCGTCAACCGTCCGACAAAATTGGCCCTGCATTGGCGAGGACCCTGCCAAGTGACCAGAGTCATCACAGACCATGTGATGGAGACTCAGCAGCTGGTACCACCGTATGAAATCACGGTCCATCATGCGTGCCGACTGAAGATGTACCACGAAGATGGTAGAGAGGTGACCGAAGGCCTCCAGGCGCAGATCGCATTTGGCGATGGCGGATTTCATGTGGAGCGCCTGGACGAAGCGCGCTGCGTGGATGGCCAACACCAAGTTTTGGTGAAGTGGCTTGGACTTGACGATGAAGAATCGTCCTGGGAACCTGCGGCAAACTTGCTGGACGACATTCCAGTCGTATTTCGCAAGTGGGCGGCGGCGAACAAGGAAGACCCTGCCGTGGCCGCCCTCATCAAGACACTGGACTTCCCGTAGGAGGGGAAGTGTTCTGCAGCGTGCAGAGCAATTGGGTCGCGCGTTAGTTTGACCCATTTCAAACACACACACTCTCTGTGTGTGGCGTGTCAAAGGTTCCGATACCTTAGTGGAGATACTGAGTACTTTAGAGGTGGTAGTCAGTAGGCGCCTCGTGGCGTGTTTAACCTCACTAATATCAGTGTGTGTGTATATTTGCTGCCTTGACGAAGGTCCCGTGGCCGAAAGCCAAGAAGAAGCGGGAGACAAAACAGGGTTGGATACCATAAACTCTGCACGAAGCTTTCGCAGCTTGTTCTTAATCGGGTCGGCATCAACCTGTACATCGATATTAATGCAACATTCATAAATTACTCGATTTCCGTGTGCTCGACAAGACGTTTATGACCCTTCAAAAGGTTATGGAAGAGTCTTTGAAGATGGACGGGGACAACTCATACAAATTGCTCCATTTGCACAAAGACAAGCTCGTAAGACGTGGAATGTGACCCAGATTTAATCTGTGCCATTGAAGCCATGAAAAGCCGTAAGACTTTGAGCGTAGAGTAGATAGATAACCTATCGAGTGTGCTTGCGTCGTGTTCGATTGAGGGTTCGATCAATATGTCCAATATTGATCAACTCTGCACAATGGTTGATGATATGAACACTGTCGCTGACGACTAAGAATTAATCACATCATGTTTACTTTCGTCGTGAAAGTCCCAAATTGAATAAAAATACAGTTTTGACGGGCTTCGAGCGTACAAATAACAAAGATAAAAACAAACCAAAAAAGTTGTCTCCACCTTTTTGGAACGGAGGAAGTACACTGTACTACGTAGTATATATAAATGTTGATCAGAATATTGATTTATACAAGTTGCAAAAACCGGGTTCCACCGCACTACTACTGTACGTACTACAGTACTCCGAGTACAACGTAGTATTAATAGTAGTACCGTATAATTATGGACCAGAGTCGTAGGTAGTACTGTACTGTACTTGTGTCTCGAATGGATATGTTTTACTTCAAAGTAATATACTCGTAATTTGGTTTGGCCAATGAGAGTCACGAAAGAAATATCGTCAGCCAATCAAAGCAAATCCAGGTGTTTCATCCAAATACATTAATGTAATTGGTGGAAACCTACCAATCAATGTCTGTATATACACACTGCATCCATTTACACTGTAATGTTCAGTTCAAGGTGGGTGCGACTGACTGTTACTTTAAGTTACTGGTAATAACTATTAACGTTACTGGTAATAATACGTACCGTAGTAGAAATCTCCTCCCCACCCTCTATAATCCACGACGTGTGTTTTGCGTGTATTATGTAGGTATAATAAGAGAATCTGCACCGCGGTTTTGGGAGGTCTGGTTATATTTCGGGCAAAACACACTACTGCCGTTAAAAGTTTCGCCCAAATGTGAAGGCTTTTATCATACTAAGCATTTGTATCCAGAGTTATCAGAAATAACCAGGATCCCTCCAAATTCGACGAAAATACCCGAAGTTACACATCGATTGGAGGTCTGGTTACCGTAAGTATAAAGACCATTTTTACACAGTTGTACAAGTGGGTTATACCTACAAAATCACACGCAAAACGCACATCGTGGATTGTAAAGGGGCCAAATTTAGAGGTGCGGTGGATACCGGTATGCTCTAACTTCTACAACAGTGTAAAAATGGACTATATAACCAGACCTCAAATCTAATAGAGTACCATGGTATGTGTAGTTGTAGGTACAGCTGTATACCGTTGACAAATTTGGAGGGCCGTCACCTCCCTGGTTATTTTTGACACCTCTGGATACAAATGCTTACAGTTAGTATAAGGGTGCGTCTGGTAACATTTCAAAAATAATATTCCATTTCCTCGCAAAATGGGATTAACCAAAATGCCATTTTCAAAATGGCGGTAAAAGGTCCATTTCGTAATATGGGATTTTGGACCTCTTCAACGAGTAAATCCCACGTGGAATTATTGGATTTGGGTTAAAACCCTTCAAGTAAGACATGTTTCCCTTTTGATCAGATTTGTTGATTTCGACCCCAAAATGGCATTTTGGGCCTGAATACAGTATAGCAATATTTCCGGTTACCAGACGCCCTAAATAAAAGCCTTCAAATTTGGGCAAAACTTTAACCAGCAGTGTGTTTTGCCCGAAATATAACCAGACCTCCCAAAACAAAACCCTGGTGGAGATGCTCTTATTCTGTCATTTGTGAACGAATAGCTTCGTTAACAGTATTTTATCAGGAGGATCAGAACGATCACCCGCTTTCGGTAGCCAATTTTGAACTGTGGGAGATTCAGCACTTGAATCTCCAAACGGATTTGAGTTACAGTGTACCATAAACAATTTGGAGATTATATTTCAAAGGGTTTATTAAATTAAGGAGTAGATATCTCAACTCAAAAGTGCTGACTGAAAACTCTAGCGTTAACATTAGTATGTACCGGTAGTATGCTTTATCGCTATTCATGTGTTGGAGTAAGGCTGTTCGTGCCAACGCAACTTCCTGCTAACGTCATACATACATACTTCAGTAGCACAAAGTAAGACTTCAGATATAGTAATCCATGGAGTACTGTACTGTATCCTTGTCATAAATTCGCTCGGTGGGATTTTCACGTAAATCCCACTTTCGTCGTCTATAATATAACTCGTTCAATACCTTACATTTTTCTAGTGAAGTTAAAACTGTCATTTTACAACCAGTACATGGTTCCAACTTGGTCGTACAGGTCATCCAAGAAGCCGCACTTCACTTTGCTTTCTGTAGCCCTTAGCCATGCGCGTCACCGTTGCCGTCCTAACGTTAGCCATCGCCGCATGCGCAGAAGTATGTGCTCGCTACGTCGACCCTGAAAAGTGTACCGCCATCCTTGTCGGTGCCAAGGTACACTGTTCAAAGCCCATTCCATATCAAACTCACCGAGGTCACCATTAGGCGTCCGCCACGGGTTCGCCCATGACAACTCAAACCAACGACTGCGGCGACTGCGACTTCCGCTTGGTGAAAGTACCTGCAAAAGACCACGCGCCAGGATCTCGTCGCCCTGTGATCTTGGTCGGGCAGCCTTATCCTCGCTACGGTAACCACCACCGCTACCATCCCCGTCATCTTCGAGGTTGTGTCCTCATGGTGAACCAACTCGTCGTAGTGGGCGAAGACCGAGGACCGGTGTACACCAAGGCCAACCTGGACAAGTCACTGTTCACCTGGACCGACACCCCCGCGATCGGGTCCATTCCGCAAGTAAACCACACGTTTGGGTACGTTGAAGGCGTGTATGGGATCATGAACGAGCATCAGCTGGGCATTGGCGAGTCGACGTGTACGTCTAAGCTGTGGACCAAGCCAGTGTCGCAAGGCGGCAAGGCGCTACTCGACATCACCGAGCTGAGTCGCATTGCGTTGGAGCGATCGAAAACTGCGCGGGAAGCCATCGTGTTGATGGGGGGCTTGGCTGAGCAGTACGGGTACTACGGGGCAGCATGGGACACCCCCGAAATCGCGATGGACGAGGCGGGGGAAGCGCTGACCGTGACGGACCCGAAGGAGGGCTGGATGTTTCACATTCTGCCAGATGACTCGGGCACGTCCGCCGTGTGGGTGGCGCAGCGCGTGCCCGACGATCACATTGCCGCGATCGGCAACCAGTTTGTAATCCACCACATCAACATCACAGACACGGCCAACTTTTTAGCGTCGGCGAATGTCTATGACGTGGCAAAACGCAATGGTTTCTGGGATGAAGACACTGAGTTTGACTTTACAGCTGCGTACGCCCCCAAGCAACCGAACCAGTACAGCATGACCCGCCGCGTGTGGCGCGTGCTGTCGCTGGCCAACTCGACCATCGGATTGAACCCGTTCACGGACGCATTTGCAACCGACTATCCGTTTTCAGTTCAAGTACGTACGGGTGTGTACAACTAGGTTAGGCAGGTTGGATAAGATGCTTTTGCTTCGGAGATTTTGGATGAGGTTGTTTTTGATCGTGCTGTATATACCTACCTGGTAATAGGGTTTTGTTCAACTTTGAATGTACAATCGCCGGGCCTTCGAAATTTCATATAAAACAAAGTTAAAGAGGTCTCTTTGTGTCTGCTACCAATCTTTTTAGCCAATCATATTGCAAATTTCATTCTTTGTAGCCAATCATACTCCTTCTCTCGTTTACTTGGCGATATACTGAATATATACGTGTCGAGTAGCCGGACGCGCCACTGACCCCAGCCGACCTCATGCGCTTTCAACGCGATCATTATGAAGGCACGCCATTTGATTTGACGCAAGGGCTCGCGGCGGGGCCGTACGGTGACCCGAACCGCTACAGTACGTCGTGGTGTATATCTAGTAATATTTGGCTTCAAATAGTTGATATGCACCATCCCTCATCTATGTATATCATCATACAGCATATTTCGTGGTTATAGTTTCAATATTATTTTTGATTATTTGTTTTTTGTGAGGGGAATGAAATATATATTTATTAATATTTATTTGGTTTCGCAGGTCCAGGCCAGGTCGCACCAGGTGGGTCGTTTGAACGGTCAATCTCCGTGTACAAGGCCACGTACTCGTACGTGACGACGGCGCACCCGACCAACGAGAACAAGGCAGTGTTATGGTTCGTTTGTATATATCAATGGCCATATTAAGGCCACAATGCCACTTTAGTGTTTTTTGTTTGACAGCGTTTCCTGCTTGTTGGTGCTATAAAGGCACTAAACAACCACCACTACAACCTTGTGTTTTGGCACTATTTTATTTTTATTTTAAATGCTCTTTTTTAGGTTTGGGCCGTACGCGCCGTCGCACACAACGTACTTTCCGATTTACCCCAAAGTGAGTGCCATCCCTGACGTGGCATCTCGTGGGTCGTTGCACGCGTTCGACATGTCCAAAGCATTTTGGCTCAATGCGTTGATTGGCAACTACGCATCCCGATACTACAAGTTCACGCAACCCGTGATTGTGGCGGCGCAACTTCGTCTCGAAGCCAAGGCCTTGGCAGGTACACTACTAGTACTACTACTAGTACTACTACTACTACTTGCTGCAATTGTATCCTCCGTTGTTGTTTGTTGTTATGCGTTGACGTATTAGACTCCAATATACCGGTATACTTTATATATATAGATATATATATTTCTCATGCCAACCACGCCACTATCCAATCTCATACCAAGTATGAATACGTACTGACGTAATATATCGATATATATAGCCCACCATCCCGTCTACATGTTTCACCTGTTTGTTGTTTACCAGGTAGTATTCTTTAACCCGCTGCTCGGATGTTATGCCGACATACTGGACATAATAGATACCTTACGACTATAATGCCAACATTTCCAATCGCCCGTTGTATATCTCTATAATCTCGTTGAACTATTGTGAATTCGCTATAAACTTGCAAAATTCGCTATAAACTTGCAAAATTCGCGTGGTAATCAATATTGAATCACGCTGGAGTTCTGATTGGTTGAATATATTTGTCCTTTCGAGCCAATCAAATCCACTCAAAATTGGATTAGCCAATAGCGTCGATTCATGATTCGATTTGGCGGCGACATTCGATTCATCCGGGTTTGGAAATTCGTATCGTCTCCACAATACTTGGACATATATATATATATATATATATATATATATATATCTTACGACTATAATGCCAACATCTCGAATCGCCAGTTAGTTGTATCCATCATATATATATATATACCTGTAGTCCAAGCTGCGATCCACGACAAGGCGCTGGCCATTTTCCAAAGCCAAGGGGACGACGCGCTCGTCACGTACCTGACCAACGTGTGCGCGTCGTTTGCAGCCGACGCCCACAGCGGCTTCAGCGCCGTCTTCGCGTCACTTGTGACCCACTTCCACGACGGCTACATCATGTCCAACCTCACAAGCAGCACCATCGGCGTCCAGGCCATGGGGTACCCCCTATGGTGGCTCCAAGCTGTGGGGTATTACAACTCGTCGACGTCTCCAGCGTCGGGTTCGTCCACCGTCCTGGCGACGGTGGGGTATGTCGTGCTCGTGTTCTTGGCGCTTGGTCTCGGGTTTGCTGTCGGCCAGCACTCGATTCGACTCAAGGGATATGCTTTTATCAAGTAACTTTTGACAGCTGGGACTAAAACAATACATAATATATATATTATGTGTATTGATTGACCCGTCGAGAGTGAAATCGTCGTGCCAAGCGATTTGATATGGATTTCACACATAAGACTAAGTGTAAGTTTGGAACTTCCATTCGAGGACTGCTTAGCTAGCCGAATGAATGAATATGATTAAAGCCAGCGATGCTGTACTTCCTCGGTCTCTGGGGACTTCGATCAACGACTGACTACGACGAGTGTTAATGAGGTCGTCTCCCCTACAGTACAGTAATTGGCGCGTAAGGCTTTTTGCTCGGCGGATGTATCTGGTTTTACAGTTATTGACATATCTGGCTTTAATATTATTCACGCCACTCTAAAGACGACCAAAGTACACTGTACAAGGGGGAAGGTAAAGTACAAACAACTAAATCGAGGAATCGGCTACAGTGAGCAGTCTAGAATTCGCGCAGAGCTAGCTTTCTACGTCGACAGGATACTGTATACTATTAATACTAGTAACTAGTTAGTATACGGAGTAGTAAAGTCCGCTAGCTGCCAATGCAGCTAGTACGCGTCCGAGGCCATTAAGTGCCCGCTGAGTGATTTTAACTTTACAGCGTAATATCAATATCAATAGTTAGTATACGGAGGAAAGTAGGGTACTATTAATATTCGAAAGTGCGGATGACCTTGTTATGGTTATATTCACACGAACCACCGATGGTGGTGGTTTTATATTGTTTGGTTATTGAATGTACGCATACCCTCGTTTGGTTTTGCCCATCCTATTAGCTCGCTGGCCCAGATGAAATCCGCCCGCCAGCGCCAGGACAACCAGCACACAAAACGAGCCCACGATAGACCCCGACAGGTACACGTTGCAGTTTTCGTCCATCGATTGGCTCGTGGTAATATTGTCGTCGTAGTAGCCGACCCGATCGAGCCACGACTGGGGGTACCCCATTGACGCCACTGTAAACGACGCTTCAGTCAGGTCGGACACGATGCTGCCGTCGTGGAAGCGGGTGACAAGGGCATCGAAAAGCGAATGGGACGCCGCCAAGCCCTTGTCGGCAAACGTGTGGCTCGCCCGCGTGAGGAAATCTGCGACATCGCCTTGGCTGGCCAGCACCGAGTGAGCTCCATCGTACACGGTTTGCAGCGCTATAACCACACAAAACACATACATTCTCGTGGTGAGAAGATACCAAGTATGTCATTCAAGGTCGTGTACATCCTCCTTCGAGATGGGGCCACATATATATATATCAGTTTACAATAATGGCCATATATATATATATATACAATAATGACATCCATATCGTACAAGTAAGGATGTACCATTTCCGATATCACGTTATAAATACTTGTATCATGGACGTACAATACTAGTAGGAAAAAAAGTAGTTCCAAGCTGTACCTTTTGTTTTGATTACGTTAGAAGTTTATTAGTTGTTTCAATAATGACGAGCCAAGCAGCAAGAGCATAAATACAGTAACTTATCATACTTTCTACAAAGGGATACCTCATTTTACAAGCTCAATCATATATATATATCCCTTTTCAAGTCGAAATATAGAGTGTACTATACGTATAGTTGGTGTACCAGCTAGAGCGTCGGCTTCCACGACCTGTTGGGCAGCTGCGACCACCGGTCGAGCAAACTTGTACCAAGTAGATGCATAATTGCCCACTGCCAAGTTGGACCAAAACAGAGCCGATTTGTTAAAGTGCCGAAGGGAGCCCTGGCTTGCCGACGGGGGGACGTCTGTGGACGCTGCAAAGATCGGCACGTACATGGTCGCATGCGGTGCGTACGGCCCAAACCTATGAAGAACGATATGTATTATGGCGGATTAAATGATAAATGATGGTCTATATATAAACACAAACCAGAGAAACCCAAGGTGGGCGTTTGTCGGGTGGATCGACGCCACAAATGTATACGTAGCCGAGAAAATCGAAATCGCGCGTTCAAAGTGACCCCCGGGGCGCGCGGCATGCCCCACACCTAGGAGAAACAAACCACCGATTCATCCACATACTATGAGATGGACTCTGTACTACTACTAGTTAGTATAGATATATACTACTAATTTCGAACCGTATCGGTTGGGGTTGCCGTACGGTCCGGCGGCCGGGCCTTGTGTTAAATCGTACGGGGTGTTTTCATAATGGTCGCGATGGAATCGCATGAGGTCGGCGGCAGCGAGGGGTTGGGCCACCTATTCGCAGCTCATCCTCACGATCTATGTATATCGTACGTCATATGGGAAAACAAACCAACCTGGACGGAAAATGGATATGTCGTGGCGTAGCCATCCGTGAGTGGGGACAGGTCTAGGTGGGGGTTGGCGAGCGTGAGCACGCGCCATACACGTCGGGTGATGCCGTACTGCCACCCCGATGGTTTGGCCCCAAATGCCACTGCAAAGTCAAACTCTGTCGCAGGGTCCCAGAATCCATGGCGCGATGCAATCTCGTGCATGTTGGCGGACCCCATAAAGTTGTCCGAGTCGGCCAAGTCGACGCTGTGGATCACAAACTCATTTGCGACCGCCGTGATGTGTGTGTCTGGCACGCGCTGGGCCACCCACACCGCCGATGTCCCTGTGTCATCTGGCAAAATGTGAAACATCCAAGCGTCCCCCGTCGCGTCCGCGATCGTCAGCGCTTCGCCCGCGCAGCTAGCCGGGTCAGCTCCGACATTGCTGTCGTCCCAGAACATGCCATAGTACCCATACGTTTCTGCCAATTGGCCCATGAGGGCAATGGCTGCGCGCGCCGTAGCCGTCCGTTCTAGCGCGAGGCGAGTCAACTCTGTCACATCAAAGTACGCAGCCCCGCCATGTCCGACGGGTTTGGCGTAGAATTTAGCGCCACACGTGCTTTCGCCCATGGCCAGCTGCTGGTCGTTCATGATTCCGTACACGCCTTCGAGGTACCCAAACGTGGTGTTCACTTGGGGGATTTGCGCTATTGGAACCGTGTCTGTCCAGTTGGTGAAGCCACTCAACGGATCCAGTCGGTCGCGGGCGTACCCGTAACCTCTTGCGTTGCCGACTACAGCGGAAATGCCACAATTGCATGTGAGCAGAATTGACGTGGAATGTACAAGGGGAAATGTGGTTAGGTGGGGGTTATAGCATGACATAACAAGGGAAATCGGACACATACGAAGGGGGTAGTTGTAGTGTACGGACGACAAACAAGATGGAATTCATATGAACGAGGATGTGCACAAAGTACCGTAACGCGGGTATTGCGATGCAAACAGCAGCACGTCGCGCATGGCACCAGGAGCGTGGGTCATGGGAGGTACTTTGACCAGGCGAAAGTCGCAATCCGAGCAATCGTTGCTGTGGGTCGTCATTGGCGTTCCAGTCACCGACGCCTAAGAACACGGGCAATGAGATATCAATCAGCCTTGGAAAGTGATAGCGCGACTTGCCTTGGCGCCAACCAGGATGGCTGTGCACCGGTCTTGGTGGTCGTTGGCACCTTCCACGAGGCCAAGTGAAGCAGCAGCAACCACACATGCCGTCGAGAATCGCTTCATGGTTAGACAGGCAGCAGTCACTTGTCGCAATGAGAAGTGACCAGGAAAGGCTGGAAGATCGCGCTCCACCTCTGAAAGATATGGTTCGCATAATATCGAACTTCAACGTTTAGGTAGGCATTTAATTGTACTATTTTTAATAATACCAAGCTTGTTCTTGGACTTTTTCAGCGGAGGTTCACACACCAAATACTGTAGGCGGTGAAAGTGACGAAGATACTATTGTAGTAACACTACAGTTCAGTAGTAGGTCCTTCACAGTCAGTTGATCTAACAGTTACTTGTATCCTAATCCCTGAAACTTCACCAGATCAAGTCTACGGAGGTGGATTAAAGTGCCTGCCTATTCACGATATGTGTGTTTGATGCTGTATGGGACAGCTTGATAATGAATGTTCTGCCGCTGCAGATCTCGAGGCCACCTCCAACGCTGGAGCACACTCGCAATAACGTTAGTGAGTCTACTTCCAGTGCAAGCTGGACAGTACAGTATAGTACTTGAAGGATAAAGATCTCTTTGACGTTCAAATGATTGGGCATCGATTTTCAATAATTCGCATGTGGGTAAAGGCAACTTCGTCCGGGTAATATCCGGATTCTGCCGCTTGGCAATTGGTTGGTGGGCGATGGGAACGGACCTGTTGCATTTCATATCAATATTAAATGTAGGAGGTTTCCCCGCCGACAGGTTGGTGGAGCTACTATTCTTGCACAACATCACACACGAGCGCAATCAAGATGGTCACCGTGGCAGAGTCCAAGAAAGAAGAACCTCCGCGAGGCGTGCCTGTGAGCGGCCGCTCATGGAAGAAGACGCAGCGTTCCAAGAACTCCATGATGACGTACAAGGCCACCAAGACATTGAGCACGACATGGGACGAGAAGATGGCGGCCAAGTCCAAGAAAAAGGAGATGAAGGACCTTGAACACGAGATCGCAAACCGCAAGAAGCAAGAAAAGGTCGACAAGCGCGTTGCGCGCGAAGAGAAGGAAAAGCGCCGCATCGCCAACGAATTCAAGGCGTCCACGCTGCAAGTGATCAAGAAGACACACAAACTCAAGAGCATGAGCAAGAAGCAATTGCGCAACATCAAGAAGACGCGCATGAACAAGAACGGCGAGATCGAACTCGTCTCGGCGTACGCAAAGTAATAGAACCATTGTCATTTAACGTTATATCCACATTTCCTTTCATGCATGCTGTCGTGTCGCCGCCGTCGGGAGGTCATGGCATATTATTTTCACATGCAACATTTCCGGATAATTATTATTCGGATGCGAATCCCTGGCCAACGATTGGCTCCCACTATTTCCATTGCTTGAAGCGAAAACAAGTTTTGATGTCGCTGGTGGCGCCGTCCACGCTTGGCCTCCGTGGCACCGCTGTAACTCACTTCAACGTCGACCCTGACGCACTGCAGCTTCCGGCCGACGAGCAAGACTACGAGTATGTCCTGGACTGGTACGTCGCAACCTCTCTCTCCCTCGTCCTCTGGATGTCATCACTGAGGCTCGATGAACCACCAGCAAAACCACGGCGTCCAAGGACCATGTGCTTCTAGCCCTGTCGGATCGGACCATTCAAGCGCGAAGCCGTGCCACACTTTCATGCGAGCGCCAGTTCACTGCGCACACGGACACGATCAACGAACTCGTGATCTCGGAGACGCAGCCGTGGAATGTCATCTCGGGCTCGAACGACGGGACTATCAAAGTGTGGGACCTGCGCCAGAGCCAGCCAGCCGCAGTGCAGACCATCCGCGTGGGCGAAGAGGTGTGGAGCTGCTCCGTCGGGTGCGGAGACACGCTGGTCGTGGCTGGTGCGGCGGACTCGGCCGTGTTCTTTGACCTGCGGACGTTGCGCAAGGTACAGCCGTCCATCTTCCTCTTCCATTGAACAAGCATGCATTTTAGCTGGGCCAATATGGAGAATCGCACATGGATAACGTGACCCGCGTGCAGTTCCACCCGGTGCGGCGGTCCGAAGTGATCACTGCGAGCGACGATGGCATCGTGTGCTTGTTCGACTGCACAATCGCCGACGAGGACGAGGCGACGATTTCAACCATCAACGTCGAGAGCTCCGTGTCTAGATTTTGCATGTTTGGCCCAGACTTGCACAACATTGCCGTGCTCACGGGCTCGGAAACGCTGGATGTGTGGAACTTGACGACAGCGGAACGACTCGCGCACTTTCCTACGATTCGAGACCAGTGCAGCTCGTCCTCTGCGGTACTGCCCAGTGTGCATCACCACCAACAACCATGCCGATTGTTTGTGTGTTGAAGTGGACATTTTGCTGTTTGGGTGTTTGATTTTGGTTGATCCAAGGCATTTTCGATCGATGGCCACCTTTGGCTATGTGCTGCTATTTTATGAGGATGATATTGCCCTTTTACCCATAATTTGGATTATTTACTTTTGTGCTGAATCGCCAAATCAATCAATCGATTCTTTGACTTTTGTATGTCAAAAGGTGTCATGTGGGGATTGGTATCACACACTAATTGAAGTTTCACACGAATTTGACGTGGATGACGGTTTCCTGCAATCGGATTGGCTCCATATATCGTACAATTCGATTTATTCTCCATGTTGCTCCAGTTTAGAATATAAACACATAAACAATATGCGTAGGGATTGCACACAGACTACCTCGTCGACTGCAAGTACAATGCTGCGTCAGACCAGCTGCATTTGGCCACTGGCAACCACCAAGGCCAACTCAATGTGTTCCAGTTGAACCCCCAAGCTGGCATCGTGCATCAAGCCACGCTCTCCGGCGGGCATAAAGCAGCGATCCGGTGTCTGGACTGGCAGGCGGACATGCTGCTCACAGGCGGCGAAGATGCCCGGGTGTGTCAGTGGATGCCGCCGTCTCAATCACAAGGCCAGTTGATGAGTGGTGGGGGACGGTCCGCCATTCGTTCGTCGGTGGAGCGCGACGTCAGTGGCGCCAGGCGAGCCAGACACGCATCCCGGCCATATTAAACGATGAAGAAATACACATTTACTATACAGTATTGTACAGATATATCCTTGGATACGACAGGGGGTGTAGAAGGGAAGCCATTTGTTAATTGATCCACAGTTACATTTTGCGTGACTGTCGGTTACTATAAGTACATACTCTATGAAACGACTATTGGGTAGAATTCGATCTGGGTAGAATTCGATCATTCCAATTCACAGTCAACAGGCATGGTCAGAGTGTTTTCGTTCGTTTCTGTCTACATGATGGTTTGCGAAGTACTCCCATTGCTAGCAACGGAATAACGCGTTCACTTTGGTGCTATGCAACTGGAGGATTGCTGCCAAGAGCGGAATGGTTTGACTCGAGTTGCGCATTGCCCAATGGGTATATTGTATTGAAATCGCGTTACACGAGCATTCTAGGGTTCGACAGCGGTTACCGAGCATTATTCCTGTGGACAGATTTGATCTTGTTGGATAACATCTAACGTTAAGCATGCGCATCCTCATGTCAAAAATGAGGTGCCTCGTATTTGTTTGAAACCGCCGTGTGGTGTGAAACCGATTTGTGAGTCGGTGACGCCACTCGAAAGAGATCTTGCACGAGAGCCCCATCGTTCGTCCGTTTTCATACGTGGCAATCCATCCACCCATGCTGCAGCTCCAAGACTACTAGTCGAACTTGATCGCCATTTGCGATTTTCACCGCAATCGTCGACACACTTGACCAGAACACAAACATGCGCGTGATCGTGACAGCAGCAGCCGTTTTGGTGGCCGTAGTGCAGGCAGCCCACACATCCACGTCGATCCTCGTGGGGGCCAAGGCGTCCGCAACCGGAGCTCCTTTGACGGCGCATTCATTGGACTGCCCCGACTGCGACTTTCGCCTCGTCAAGGTGCCTGCGGTGCAGTACACGGAAAGCACGAGCTCCGACTTGACGCGCAATGTGTTTTTGACGTCGTCTCAGTATCCCCGTCACGGTATATACATTGCCCCCCCCCCTTATCCACATTTTATGATGAAGGCACAACTCATACTGTATATGGCTCCTGGCGTTGCCCTAGTTGGGAATGACCGAGGGCCAGCATATTCGGTGGACAACCTCAAACAACCTGGCGAGTTCTTCAACTGGACGGATTCCCCCGCGATCGCGCAAATCCCTCAAATCCGAGAAACATACGCGTACCTGGATGGGGTCGTGGGCATTGTGAACGAACTACAGCTATCGTTTGGCCACAGCAGCTGCGGCGCCAAGCTGGCGGCCCGCCCCGTATCGCAAGGCGGGAACGCTGCGTTTGACATTGCCGAGCTCACGCGGGTGGCTCTTGAGCGCACGGCTACTGCGCGGGACGCCATTGCATTGATGGGCAAACTCGCGGAAACGTATGGGTTCTACGGGTCGTCGTGGGGCGGGGACGACATCTACTCGGGCGAAGCGCTGACCGTGGCAGATGAAACCGAAGGCTGGATCTTCCACATTCTGCCAGACGACTCGGGGGCGTCAGCGGTATGGGCGGCGCAGCGCGTGCCCGACACGGATGTGGCGGTGGTCGCCAACCAGTTTGTGATCCACCAAGTGAACGTCACCGACTCGGACTGGTACATGGCGTCTAGTAACGTGCATGACGTGGCATCGCGAAACGGCTTGTGGGACGAAACCGCCGACACGTTTGACTTTGCAGTGGTCTACGGCCACTTGCCAGAGTCCACCGTGGGTTCGACCCGTCGCATGTGGCGCGTATTTTCCCTCGCCAACCCGACGCTCGAGCTGTCGCCTGTGGCCGACCCCTACGCCATCACGTATCCGTTTTCGGTTCCGGTAGGTTTGGATAGAGTGTATGTGGGGGGATGTGTCAGAGTACTGTATCATGGCTAACAGTATGTATTCCATAGGTGGAAGCCGAGGTGACGTTGGCTGCCATGGATTTAATCCGGTTCCAGCGCGACCATTACGAAAACACCGAGTTTGACTTGACTGTGGGCGTGGCCGCTGGACCGTATGGCAGTCCCGATCGATTCGGTAGTTATGAAACGTTGTCGCATGCCTCGTGATATATATCATCCATTTTTTTAAATTGGATGGCTCGTAGCGGTGGACAGCGAAACTGCTCTGAATGGACGCTTTGAAACGCCGATTGGCGGTTCCACGTATTCGTATGTGGTCACGTTGGACCCGACGTCGGCTTTCAACTCGTTGCTATGGTATGTTCGAATCTGTTGCATACGCACGTTGCTGACATAACTGGGCCGTAGGTTTGCCCCACATGCCCCGTCGGCATCCACGTATATCCCAGTGTTCGTCAAAGCGACGGTCGTCCCCGCTGTGATCGGCACCGGGTCGTTGCGCGAGTTTGACATTACGTCAGCGTACTGGTTAAACTCGTTGCTAAGCAACTACGTGGGCCGGTGGTTTGAACACGTGTATCCTGTCGTGGCAGAAGCCAGGGCGCTGGCCGAGTACACGGCCGACACTGGTAACATGCAACTTCAACTTGACTAGATGACGTGGCACGCTCAGATTGAGTCGTCCTGTCTTTTTAATCTTTTTTTTGTACATGTTATGTTCAAATTTTGACATTTTCGACGGAATTTAGCCCAAACTTCGGTTCAAGTCGCGGTGCAAGAAGTCAAGGACAAAGTAGGCGATGCCGCCGCCATTGATGTCTTGACCAAGACGACCGAGAGCTTCGCCAACGATGCACAGGCAGCGACGATGAACTTGCTGTCGGACGTGATCACGCGCTTCCACGACGGATTCCTCGTGTCGGGGTTCGAAAATGAAGTCCTCGAGGTGCAACCCATGAGCTACCCCGAATGGTACTTGGACTCGGTGGGGTACTACCCCGAAGCCGCTGACGCGACGACAGAAGTCTCTACTGACGATACCGAAGAGCCCACTACGACTATCCCCGCCGCCATTGCCAAAGTGGTGGGACCTATCGTCACGGCCGGCTCCACCGCAGCCAAGGCCACATCCACGAATATGACGACGGGAACAAGCTCAGACTGCCCTGACATCTCGTCGACCAAGAACAATACGTGGGGCGCGGTTGTGATCATCGGCTTTGCGGCCATGCTCGTGGCTACTACGGCGCTTGGGTACATCTTCGGCAAACGCCAGGCGTTGACTCGAACCCGCGGGTATGCCTACATTCAATAAGCAATCGGTTGGGAAGTAGACGCGTAGAAGACGTTTATAATGTATTTCAAACGCGTTTAAAATAAGAGTATTTTATGTACCACTGTAATGCATTCGATGGCTTCAACTAATACTACCGAAGACTTACGCTCCAAGTGGGGCGTGAACACGTGGCCGACTCTCACAGGAACATGCCATCAGTGTCCATGCTTTGAATAGCATGTACTACCAGTGGTGGACAGTGTTGGAGTAAGTTACTAGCAGGACGACTGAAGGGCGTTTATAACACTGTTAGTAAACAAAACAAAACAATTTAAAACAGCCCCTGTATGTTCAACAAGTGTGCAATTTTCTCGAATGGCATTCATGGAGCACACTCGCAGTAGCAGCGGCGCGTACGATGTGTCCGACTCGGGTAGTCATGCGACTGCCAGAGACGCATTCGTGATCATGTCGACACTTTTGACGGCGTCGGTGCCGCGTGCGTACTTGGAGTTGTGCTCGCAGATCCTCCAGGAACGGCACATGCGTGATGTGTTCGAGGAGCGGTCTGTGCAGCTACGATGTGGGTGGCCGCTGTGTCGCGAGTCCATTGCGAATCGGTACGTGATGCTTTTGTCCCAAGCATCCTTCAACGCTTTCTCTGTCCATGCTGCTTTTCACACGTGACCATGTCAGGCGACCTCAAAAGTATCGCGTGTCTCTCGCCAAGCAGCAGGTGTACAACGCGCGAGAGGAACAGCAGTTCTGTGGCGACGCTTGTCTCCAGGTGGGGGGTTCGTCTTCTTCCTACAACCTCCTCTGAACTTCGGGTTCATCGTCATCATCATCTAGGACGCCCGGAAGTACGTCGCGTCGCTTCCGATCAAGCCGCCGCAAATGCTGCCGTCGCTCACACAGGTCTTTGGCACGTCCAAGCCCCACCCAAAGGACTACGACGAGTCGCGACCCGCAGCTTCGTCGCTAGGCGTTCCGCTACCGAAGCACCCTATCCTCGGTCCATCCTCGGCCTCTCGGCGTGCCACGTCAGCCGGGCCTAAGGTCGTATGGGCCAAACAAGCTGGCATGGGCGTGATTGAAAGAGACGTCCAGATCGTTGAACACGTGGCGCCACCACGGCCGTCCACTGACTTTAGCACTGCCAACGCCGTGCTCATCGAAGGCTACGTGTTTCCCGCGCACAAGGGGAACCGCGCGTCCAAACTCGCCAAACGTTTGGCGGCGGCTAGTAGTACTAGTACTAGTACTACTACTCCGGACCCCCTGGACGAGGAGGAAGTGTTTACATCCGACGATGACGACACCAGCAGCGGCGGCGACTCGTCCGCCGCGGAAGAGTCGAGTGAAGACAGCGAAGGCAATGTCGACACATTCAGCGCCGCCGACTTGTCACCGTTTGCATCGTTGTGGTGGAAAGTGAGCGAGATGGTGACCCCTGCCACCATCCAATTGGTGGCGCGATTTAACGGCCAATCAAACGTCGAATACGTGGCAGCCCCTGTGACATCGTCCACGGATCTGGACAACCGGCGGCTGTTGTTTGGGACGTTTTGTACACGCCAGCTGCCGTTCGTAGTCCAAGCTTGTCACGCCTTGAGGAGCGACCGCGGCGTTCAGATGAACATGAGCGACGTGGTTCAAACATTACATCTGCGACAACCTATAGAAGGCACACGGGTGTGCGAGGTTCGTGAAAAATGGATTTTTATTGATTTCATTTATCTGGAACGATAGATGAATGAATTATAGATTCTTCAAGACGTGTTGTAAACATGGATATGTTAATATGTAGTGGAACGCCATGTGTTTGCTGCTGCTGCTCGTGGTGCATGGACGGACGCCTACGACGTGGCACAACGCCATTGCTCCGTACGTGTGCTTTGTCTGTTGTTGTACGAGACTTTTTGTATCTGTTTTTATCGATATATATATATATTTGATTTTTTTCGTGGAAACGGATCGTATGTACTATATAGGACGTCATTGAAACACTTGACGGGGCTCGAAGTCTGTGAAATGGACCAACTCATTGGAGTGTTTTGCGAAACCATGCACGCATACGTGTTGGCTGATCAACTGGATGGCCCCGCGGCGTCGACCAAGGCTATTCCGTCGGCTACAACTGCCGCGGTAATGAGCTAATAGTTTGAGCAAGTAATAGTTGGACCTAATAGTTGGTGCTAATATTTTAGGCGGCGGGAAGAACGCAGTGCCGCAAGTGCCGCCATCGGACCTGCCAATGCAAGGCGAAAGCAGGCGACGCTAACCGAAGCGAGTTTTCCGACGCGGAGATCGCTGCTATGATGAAGGAGTCACTCAAGATCCAGGAAATGGCGGAATTTGGGGCGCTGGATTAACATAAGGATACTGTAGACATATGAAGGGCGCTTGTCAACCCCGCTGAACGATTGGCTCTGAATAGATGTGGATATGATCGCCGATTGGCTATTCAGGAAATACTTGTCACTGATTGGATCAAATGATTCCCCCTAGCCACTCAAATGTCGCGCGGTTCCTTTGAAAATTTGGGGTAAATAAAACCACATAGGGTGAGTCTGGATGTCAAAGAAAACGCCAAAATCTTGGATATTTTGGCAATTTCTAAGAAATCGGCAAAAAATAAAAAAATATCTGTCTGGATCCAAAATTTGGAGAATTCAATATTTTTCCAATTATTCCTTTTTTCGCCAAAAAATACAATAAGGCTCAAGGGACTATTTTCTGAAAATTGGAACTGAGAATCGTCAAGTTTCTTTTGAAATCAGTTTGATCCAGACAGTAAAAAATAGGTGACAAGCAAATTCTTCGAATTACTTTGAACAAAATTTTCTAAATACGAGTACTACGGAGTAATTGGGCAAAAAATGGGGTGTGATGCTGACCCACTCATAACATTACTACGTAGTTTTATAAATTACCAGTAATGAAAAGCACCTGTTCCATATTTGCCAAGCAATTTTACATGTTAACCCGAATGGACGGGAGCATTTTATATAAAAGGACCTTTTAAACATTTTTTATTCATATCAATATCATGTCGTACTACGAATTATATATATGGATTTCAAATATCCGTGATAACGTAAACGGTCAATTATTGCCCTCATTTCGACCCGTGGGCTACTATATTGGCCATATCTCGTGACGAAATGAAAATTCAAAAATCTGAAACCGATTATACAGTTGTAGGGGAAACAATGCTCTATCCATAAACTCGAATTGATCGGAATTTGGAGTATTTTTAGCGAAGTTATGTTTCCAACAAACTCAAAAGTTTTGAAATTCACCGGACCAGTCGTTTGCCCTTTTTACATTTGAGTGTTGAATTTAGAGTTGGGAAACAGTTGGACACGCATTTTTAAAGCTAATCATTCTCAAGCATCTTTTTCTTCGCATGTATTTAATTAAATAAATGGATGATGAAAAATGAAAGAGGGCAACAATTGGTCCGGGGGCAATAATTGGCCGTTTACGTTTGTTATCGTGCGTCATTCCAACATAATATACTTCAGACACGACACAAAACCGACAATTTTGACTTCAACCATTGGATAACCGACAAGAGAGATCGATTTGATTCGTCGACGGATATTATCGTGGTATCATTGGACGAGGATCTTGTCGCAGGAGCAACATTTCATTAACTGTAACATTTATTAATAACATGTACACGATTTCATTCACTGCACTTCGATACACTCGAAAAATCCCTAGATACGTCACATTGTATTGAAATCGAAGAGACATCCACCAATGCAAGCTCAGTGGCTTTTACTTTTAACCAATCAGATAGTGTCGGATATATTTGTCGCAGTGGCCATTTTATCTATACACTAATAATACGTATTTAGGTCATATCCTAATTAGTAGAGACGAGAGTAAATTTGGATAATGCTAGGTATTGCATACTAGTACAGGCCTCGTCCGGGTGCGGCATGGCCTACGGCCTACCTGCCGCTGCCCGACAAGAAGAAAAGATAGATCTTTCGTTGAAGTGAGAAGCTTAGATCCGCGCTCTCGTACGGCCGCGCTTGCGCAGACGACGCCCTCCCGGGCGGTCAGGGCCAACGTACAGTAAGGCCTGGTTACTACTTTAGGTTTCATCCAACAACTTCATTCCATTTCATCCCATGTCATCCACGCTTTGATTCAACGATTATATTATATTACCCACAGGGATAGTATCCAGGGATGGTATAATATTAACAGTATTAATAAATGCTGTCCCGTAGGTCTTGAGTCTATTGCGACTCCTGTAATAACTGATAATTTTCATGTAATAACTGATACCTAGTACTACTAGGTATACTGTACTCGAGTAGTATTTAGCGTTCCTTGTGAATACTGTATGGTATACTTCAAATTTGTATGACGCAATGGATTAACAGAATTTTGAGAACTTGTCTCTGCTTGTGAATACCACCTGTCGCAATACATATACACTATACGGTAAGTCTCACCCTGGGGTTGGTTGTGTGCGTCAACACCGCAATCAAGAAAAAAGAATATGACACCCACTGCGGTACTAGTAGGTTTAATAGCCTTTCAAAATAAAAAGTACCCTTGACAACGAGGAAATCAATTGCACACAACATACTACTCAGTGTGCTTTAATATAATGTACATTTGTCTCAGATGGCTGTGTTTTAATATAATGTACATGTGGTTTGACCAATGAACAAATATATTCAGCCAATCAAAGCAAAAACAGGTCTTTCATCAAAATGCATCGATATAATTGGTGTATATCTACCAATCAAAAGCTGTAGAAGACACACTGCATTCATTTAATTGGCGGAAAAATCTGCTGAGTGGGTGTGACTATTTTAGTGGTTGTTATTCTGTCATTTATGATCGAATCGCTTTATTAAAAGGAGGATCAGAACGAGCGCCAGCTTTCGGCAGCCAATCGAAATTCGCAATTTGGCCCAAGGGTCGCCGTGATAGGCCAAATTTTGTCAAATGTACTTCGAAGTACACTATAATAAAGCACTGTGTATTCGTCAAGTCAGCGACATCCACATCATCACATTGAATTTCTCGCAACACTCTAACACCCACAACGTCGTAGACGAGGACTGGTTAAAAATCATATGCGGTCGTGTTATTCGTAGCTTATGCGAAGTCTCTACCGTTGCCACGTATGTTCAGGGTATGTATGTATCCAGAATAATTCCCTGAGAGCAAAAGTTCCACTCTTCTTACGCAATCATTTCTCGTCAGAAGAACGGAACCCCCGGACCTATAGTGTTGCCATTCCCGGGGTGCATCACTAACGGTTAGCTATCGCTAACCACTGAAATGCACTTAGCCCCTAGCTGGAATGTACTACAGTGTACTAGTTGTGTGGTTTTGGTTCATTCTGCATTTGCTATCATCTAATATGAACATGTGAAATGATAGCGTAAGCAACGCGTGGACCTGTTGCTCTCAGGGAATTAATGTATGTATCCACTTTGGCTTGCCGTTTCAGTGTATTAGCTACTTGCGACAGAGTACTGTAGAAGTAAACAAGAACGATTCCATTGCTGTAGCGCTGCCGTCGTTGCTGGTACTTCGAAAGCAATTTGCTCGCCTAACGTCGCCCGCCTGAAGCTGCCCCCAGAGAGGCTACTGTACTGTTTACCGTACCGGTAGTACATCCATTTTCAAGACTACGAAAGTTCAGACTCGCGAAATCGATTGTTCGGCAGTTAAAGTTCCCGAGTTACTCTCTACGGACAGATCAATAACAGTACTACCAGGCGGCATCGTGGCGTCTTTTTGCGATCAGACATACTACGTAGTACTAGTATCAAGGAAAACGATATGTTGACATGGTAATCGAGAGTTAGCTTACAGTATCCTGCCACCGAAACACAAGCCCGATGGGATGTCCACTTACCGGTAAACAGCACGAAAGTATGTCGTAACGTTAGGAATTTTCTCGCTGAACTACTATAGCAGCTACTAGTACGCGGTAGTTATAACGTTAGAAGTCTTTGTTTCACGACTAATTCCCCCACAACAGGGGTGTACTATAACCCCTGCTGGATGCTCAAAATACCTTTGTTGTGGAAGAATTCCTTATTGTTAGGTAAGTCGACGGCACATCCACACATGTACAAACCTGGGACTGCGTCCAACCCCCGGTGAGCATATTCTTCGATGTATAGTTTTATTCCCGGGGTTGAGTGCATAGTAGTACGTGGTAAGCTATCGTTAACCACTGGAGATAGATGCCTTAACCCCAAGCTGACATAATCCACATGACTGTACTTATTTGTGAAAAATAGAGCGTTTTGATTGGCTGATTGAGTTAATTCATACTTCCGTGACAACATTGGTTCTCCAGCAGGGTATATACCGGTACACCTGTTGTGGGGGGATTACTCTAGTAGTCTTACCAGGTTCTATTAACCCGCTCGGATCAATAGTAAATCCATTTTCAATCGCTATTAATAGTACTACGTAGTAGTACTGGGATTTGTACTACCACTAGTACTAGTAGTACAGTACGAAAGATTATCCAATCATTATCGAGCGATTCTACGTTGAATAGATATGCTTGATTAACATGTTGAGAACAAGCCAATCATATCAGTTCATCAGGTTATGATTCGAAGCTACTACTATTAATACTTGTAGTTGTAGTACTGTACTGTAGAAATTGTAAAGTCAAGACTAATTCACAGTGTCAATGATGGCCCCTAGGGTTTGATTTAAAGGGATTTGCCTGTTCAGTGAAGGAATTACACGACCCTGTGTATTGTCTTTCGCCCTGTCAATGATGCCATGGTATGCGACATGATCAAAAAGTTATAACTGACAGATTCGACCTGATTCAAGCCTTCACTATAAGCTCGTACATCGAGTCGGGAGGACAAGTGCAAATTGGACTACTGTACCGTAAACCCCACTTCATGAGGGCCAAACTCGACTCCATTCTAGCTTCACCAACAGTGCCGAGGGTGGTCTCATTTGGAGTTGATGGGCACACATAAGCAGCGTGAGGTGGCCCCACAGGGCGTGAGCCCGGAAACGCTTGTCTATTTCGACGGATGATGTCTAAGCAACAACCGCAGCTGCCCTGTGATGTCGTAATCAAAATGTATCCACGTTAAATGTTACTTCGGGTTGCACAGCTGTCACATGACTTGACTGCATCTTGCCCTCATATTTATTCATATGACGCGTGTGCAAGCCAAACGGACCGACGTAACTAACAACTCTCCAAAGGATGATAGTTTCAATTTCCATCCTAGTATTATTTAAATGATTGATAGCTACAACGGACAGTTAGCTAGAACATACCGGTAGTCTTGAGCTGACTGACCTGTGGACGGAAAATAGCCACGATGATATTCGCATCAAAACGAACGCGTAGATTCTTTGGACGGATGGCCCATAGCAACCAACTCATCTTTCCAACGCTTGTGTATTATTTCGTGTTATGGTCATATTAAATAACACACGACATGCAACTCTCGGGCAAGGTGTTTATTATTGGGAGCTGGACGTCGCGTCATGTTGTCAAGCATCCATATGTATGCCACCCTCAGCTGGCAGCACTTCCTCCGCAGCAACATACTGTGATGGTGCTGGGATATGTCGGGTCGATCAGTTTTCGATTTTCCATGCAGTCCACAGTCCTTCCTGCCGCCATGTTGCCGTTCTTGACCTGTGAACCCATCCCGTTTCACTCCCTTCAACCTCCTCCAACGTCGTCGTATCCCAACATTGGCCACTACTTGAGCTGGTACTTGGATTTGGACGTCGAAACGGACTCGTCGTCAAGCAGCGCGAGCCTTCCATCGTCCCCGATGCCTAGTTTTCCGCCATCACCCATGCGGTGTGCAATGCCGAGCTGCCATCGGGAAGCCCAGCACAGCCAGTACTGCATCAGTCATGGCGGTGGCAAGTGCTGTCGTGTTGCGTTGTGCCCCAATGCCGCCCAATCCCAAGGGGTTTGCAAAGCCCACGGCGGGGGCGCCAGGTGTAAGTTCCAGCACTGCGACAAAAGTAGCCAAGGCGGCGGCCTCTGCCGAGCCCACGGCGGTGGCAAGCGATGCATCGAAGATGGATGCACCAAGGGCGTCCAGCGGGGCAACAAGTGCGCCACCCACGGCGGGTGTCGGAAGTGCACGATGCCAGGCTGCACCAAGACTGACCGCGGCGGGGGACTGTGTGAAACCCACAGACGAGACAAGATGTGCATGGTGCAGGGCTGCAAAAGATTGGCCAAGAACCAAGGCATGTGCACTCCGCATATTCGTCGATCCCACCACAAAGACGCGGCGACGGCTGGTGTGTGACGCCACGAAGAAGCAGATTAATTTAACTATATAGTAGTAGTATAACGTAATGTACAATCCACCCCACAACAGGCTTGAAACATACTTACCGTCTTGCGTAATACCAGTCGGACACTGATCTGCTTTTATCCGAATCCGGATAGACATAGAATACAATTGTCAGTTTGTTTTATCGAGGCCCGCGATACCGTATGTTTATCGAGTTATAAAGGTTATGAATATGTAGGATATCTTACCATTATAAAATGACTTTGACTAGTATAATGTATGGCAGGTATAATCTATTGTGAAGATATATATACCTCTGATAGTTTTTATCAAGTTATATAGGAGTCCGACTTGAATTGTATTGTACTACCTAGGGATGGATACTGTATCTTCAATGGTGCAGTTGGATGTAACACTACGTTGACAGGTTGACGTATACCGTACTGTACAGAAGTAGTCAATCAATCAGTTTCTACTGAACTGATTTTCTGCAAGTACTTGAGGAATGATTCCCTGAGACCACCAGTCCCACTGTTGTTACGTGATCATTTCCCTTCAAAAGAACCAGTAGCCCTGTAACCTCGGAACCTCCAGACCCCTTCCTTGTATTGCAATTCCCGGGATTAAGTTGAATTTCAAGTGATTAGCGATAAATTCACTTATTGTTAACCCCAAGTTGGTTTGATTTACACTAGATTTAACTACCATAAAAAGAACAAGTAAAAGGATTACGTAAGCAACACTGGATCTGTGCTCTCAGGGATTTAATTCTAGAGTGGTTGAGTACTTGAAATCGTGGTAGGGTGTACTATTAATAGTAGGTCCAATCAAATACTAGTACTTCGAAGTACTGTATCGTTGTATCCTTACGATGAATGAGTTGTGCGCAAAAGTCGTAACTTACATCGTACCCCAAGGATACCGGTACATTCGATTGGAAACGTTCCCAAGCTTTCCCCATTTTATGCAAACCAAGCCCGTAACATCACTCACAGTAAGTAGCGAACAAGTTACCTGAGAAAAGCCACTTCCATCCACCCAACACAATAAATACCCCAGGATACAAAGGCGAATATGTGAAGTAAACTAAATCTCATGATTGCAAGTGTCCATCCACTACCGAAACTGCACTCTCACCGGTATACGAACTTATTCATAGTACTACATAAGGTGCTTAATGCAATTTCCACCCAGCTTGTCGTACTTTTGAAGTCTCGTAACTCATCGCTCGTGTGTGTGATGCTGAAAAACGTACTTTCGCAAGGTCGTGAGGAGCTTAATAGTTTATGCGGGACCCATCGTTGCATCATTTTTCTGGACGAATTTTTCAATTCTGTAACTTTCCTGTAAACTCCGCCCAGACTTGAATAATGTATCACAGACAGATTTGACCACCGAAATTCTCAGAACCTCTTAATAGTAATTTTTATAAAGTGTACAAGGTATTCAATTTAGACGTCATTGTAATGATGAGATTACATGAGGTGTCAAAGAACGCAAATATTAAATGCTCAGGGCCATTCAGGCTGCCATAAAAAATGTCAGAAAACGCCTCTTTTTGCAACTTTTCAGAAATATTTTGCCAATTTTTCAAACCACCACTTGTGACATTATAGTTTTACTGTTTTCTGACAGAAAACAGTTTGAACTTCAACTGTCCCGTTTTTACCAACATGATATTATATCAATAGTTCTCATTCCGTCATGGCACCCAGAGGTCGCATCAGAACATTTTGAAAAGGGAATTCTCTGTCAGAATATTAATCGACATAAAATTTTCTGTGGCATCCAGACTCAGCCTAAGTACCTAATTTTGTCCAATTGTCTTCGTTTGACGATTGTGATTGGCTGCTAACTGGGCGGAAATTAATGAATCACCTTACTATTAGTAGTACCCTTGTACTACAATTATTAATAATCTACGTAACGATAGTAGTAATAGTATTATTATAGTACAGTACTCGACCCTCCTCCACACGTTAACTGAAAACTCCATTTTTACTCGAGCCCTGAAAAATGAGGCTCATGGGGAATAGTATCGTATTGAAATATGAATACGACTCTTCCATCAAGAATTGTCACATTTGAATCAATGACGTGAGAAAAAATCAAATTTTTATGAATGTACGATTCTGATTGGTGCAAATCGAAGATTTTGATTCAGCCTACATTTCTAGACTTTTTAACTGTAAATATTCAACATCGTTGAATAAGCATTTAAACAAGAAACCAATCTTTGAAAAAACTAATAAAACTGTTATTAGACTAACAGTAAAACCATATATTTTAAAAATATTTATAATATTTCTGTATTATAAAGATAATAAGTGAATTTTATAAATAGATAAATTTCCATAAGTTTTACCTGGATACACTTTTTTAGAAAAAAACTCGAGGTAGTCAAGTTATTTATGGAAAATATGCATTACTTTATTAATTTTGTAACCTTTATTAGGCGCTATTTTCGTCGTATAAACTTGCTGGTCCATTATGCAAAAGCTCCCTCACTGCTTACTTTATTACTTAGATCATTACTACTCCAAACGTTTTTAAAGGCAGCAGAAAGGAATATTGGCTAGATACAGTATCGTTATGATCAATTAATGCGTTTACAGTAAATTCCCTCGTGCACTGTACTTAGTTTTAATTTGTACAGGTACACCCTAAACCGTAACTAAAGACAACCCATGGAACTGTACACCCATGCTGGTAATTTTTTTTCTTGTAAGTGGAGATCAGGGCAAACGGCGGCGGCATTCAGTAATATCCTCCACCGTCCGTCCCGCCCACAATTCTCATCCGCAACGACAACAGCGCCAGCTTATATTTCCAAACTATTAATAGTACACTATAGTACTAGTAGTATTATATAGTAGTATTCACTCCAAGTCTGCAAATAAATCCGATTCGTCGTCTTGACCAGCATCAACCACCTCCGCCCCCCCCGTGGGTTCGTCCTTGACTTGGGCGTCCGGCAGCAAAAAGCTCTACAACATATATATATATATATATAGCCAGCCCCATGAGTATAATTTCGTATATTTTAATCCAGCTAAAAAAGTCATACCTCAGCCTCGCGGATACTCGTGTCACAGGAAGGATCGTCGCGGGTGCTCAATAATGTGACGTGGTGCTCCACCAGTAGCTGCCACACGGGGCCGTTCGACGGACCAAACTCGGCTTTGACACGGTGCAGAAACGCATTGAACAACGTCGTGCGGTGGATCTAATAGTAGTATATCACACATCTCATAGCACACATATACAATAGAGATTTTAGTATACATATATATATATATATATAAAGATACGAGACGAATTGTTTGTATACCTCGGGACTGCGACGACGAAAGTAGCGCAGACAATCGAGGCCTTTTGCGTGGTACCCACGAGCATCTTGTCGAAACAAACCCAAGATCTGCTCTTCCATACCCATCACCGCTATACATAATCCCCACCGAGAAGATTATTGATTATGACCACTTTTTCTAAATATATATATATATATATATATATATATTCCTAAACAATCCCAACACAAGACACTAGTCATACCAAGTTGCGCTTTGGCCAATTGATTCGTCGCCAACAACGCTTCAAAGTCGGAAATCGGATTCATCGATCCCACCGCCGTCACGTCTTCGCCCAACAAATCCTATCGAAAATAAATAATATATATACACCATCTCATATTCCCTTGTCAAACACATATATATATATATATATATATCCGTACATCCAAGTCCAACTCGCCGTCGTCGTTGTCGTCACCGCCCCCTCCATCTGCCACGGGCACGTCGGCCGGTTTCGTGTCGCCAATACTCACGTCACTCCAAAACGATTTTTTCTTGTGGTCCTTGGCTTTCGCCGCTTCTTTCAATTGAAACGCCTTGTCAAAGGCGTGGATCGCAGCCAACGCCGGCTCAAACAACGTCCGATCTTCGCGCAAGTGGCTACATAGCATAAACGATTCAATCGGTACATGCAAAACCAAGGGGTGGGTACCGCTCGACATGCGGCGGCAGCGGGGCCAGCGGCGCCGTCGGATCCATCGCCCGATGAGCAATGGTGTCGTACAGACGCTGGAGTGCCGGGTTGAATGCATGTGACGTGGACGCAGGACGACTCAGCATCTCCACCAACGTGTCGGCCGCCGCGAGTTGTGCTAATGACGAGATAATAATCATATCATTGATTGTGTGGTGTCAACTTAACATCCATTGTGGGGAATACAATAGGGTATCAAAATATATATATACAAATAGCGTAGACATTCGGTCGTATATATATATATATATATATATATATATATATTGTCAAATCGATTCGAAACTGGAGAATCGAATATGTCTTAGGAGAATCGATAAAAGAACCGCCTGAGCCAATCAAATCACGTCATATCGTATTTCTACCAATCCAAACGTTTGACCCCTCCGCATTGGGCAAAACCAATATATAATAATATTTGTATAATATACTGTGTACAAGCTTAAATAGGGTCAAAGAGATTCGAAAGCAATTTGGCGAAATGTCCAAATTTGGGTGAAATTCACAATATGTATGTCAATAGAAGAATATAGTTCACACATGTAGGTAGACAATTGGATTGTTTGTCTAAGAATAACAAACTCCAAATGCAGTGGGATTTTACACATAAAAATACAAAATAAAATATCCAAAACGTTCCAATGTGTTTTGTGTGTTGAATAATGAAAGTCGAAACAACATGATGTAAAAAATCAAGAGATAGGTAGTCATAAGTACATCAACCACCAACCCATTCATTCAATCAAATATATATATATTTGATTTATATATTTGTCAAATATATCGACCACGAATCCATTCCATCCATCAAATATATATATATTTGATTTAGATAGTTGTCAAATATATCGACCACGAATCCATTCAATCCATCAAATATATATATTTGTCAAATATATCTGTCTATTTGATTGATACACTATACACGAATATATATAAAAATATCATTGATCGATACGTATGATATATACAAAGATACATATATAGATTTGATGGATATAACATATACAAGTATCCGTACTTGCGGTAGGCTGAATCGTAGGGTTGGACGCGAGCGATGAAAACTCGTACGGACGCAAATCTTCTTCAAACGGCAACTGTTGCATCCACAGACAATGCAGCCGTGGCTCTTGAACATCTAGTCCAAACGTTGACGAAATTAACCCACAGTTTATATATAAATTGCGTAGATATAATATATTTATAAGGCCCCTACTTGGAAACAAAGCGACCACTTTGGGGGCGGCGTTGGCTACCCGAACAAAGCGCGCGAGGGCGAATTTGCCTTCGGCGTGCATGGCAGTGCTGAGCGCGTGGATGGCTTCTTGGGCTTTGGGCTTGGTAAAGTCACCAAACACTGCGTCCGTCCCCGTCATGCCCAGGCCATCTACACCATAGAATAAAGGTGTGGTTATTTCTCAAAAACTCAAGAATATATCATAGAACACTATATAATACAACACTATATAATACAACACTAACAACACTATATACTACAACACTATATACTACAACACTATTTAATACAACACTATCAAGGCAAACCCACACGTATTTCATATTCATATAGTAGGGAGTAACGTTGTAGACACATATATATATTGTGCTTTTCACCGAAACTGGCCAATGTGTGCAAATCGCCAACAAATATATATATCAAAGCAGTATGATTGGCTAAAACGACGAATGAATAGTCCCAAAGAACGTGGTTAATATCATATTTCGCATCAATCCGGCGATGGTTCATTTTTCGATATTTTGAATCAAGCATACACCATTTATAAACAAACACACATTCAACCACAGTTCGTAGTTGAACCATCGAGATGAGGTGGCAATAAAAGGGTGCTGCGGCGTCGTACGTTTCCACTGGGATTTGTCCACAAAACCCAGCACTTTCAATCCCCGCGTTGTCAGTAGTTTGAGTGCAGCTTGATCGGCAGTGGAGAAGGGAATCTACAATATAATACCCCGTTGGCATGATATACTACTACTACTACATGCCTTTACAATAGCCGACGAACAATACTAACTGTAAAAAAGAAACTGATTAGGACGAATATATTATTTCTTAAATAGATAAATATATATATATAACATGGAAGGACTATCGTGGATTCGGAATAAATATCCAGACCCCGTCGAATAAATCGAATATCTCGCCGCCAAAACGAATCACGACTCGACGCTATTGGCTTATCCAATTTTGAATGAAACTGATTGGCTCTTAAAAATCGACACGAATATTTAGCCAATCACAAGGACCAGCGAGATTCCGCATGGAATAATCGAAAATAACCACGCGAATTTACAGCGACTCTTACAATATATATATATATATATACTGTATATAGGTTGTACCATTTCCGAGCCATATTTATACGCTTTGATCCGGCGTTCCGGGGGCACTTCTTCGTCGGGGTGGTCCTATCACCCATTCACAAGTCAGTACATATATATATATATACTCATTTCAACATACAAACTTGAGTAGTTCTACTACTACTACTAGTAAAACATAACCAGATCAACATACAAAGTACGAAAACACGCGCGTGACGAACGACAAACACTAAATGCACCGTATAACAATTATGGAGCTAATCAGCGACAAGGAGTCCTACAAATGGACCAATGGGGTCGTCTGCTTCATTATTCCCTGTCGAAAATCGAATCAATTGACATCGTACCGGGGCAAACGACGTGCGCTCCATGCGGACTTTGCCGGGGGCGTCGTCCTCGGCGTACGTCGTGCTTTGTTTGGCGACTTGCGACTCTTTTTGCAGCGACGGGATCGTCGCCTCGAGCACCTTGGCAAACACGTACACGGGAATGGACATGGCGTCCCCAAACTCCAAATTTCCGCGCATTTTGGTCGTCTATATATTTGTGAATCGTACAGAAAAACGAATCGAATCGCGTTTGTGTGAACTGTGAATCGAAAAACACACAATATATTTATACATGTATGTGAGAAAAAATACCAGAAATAAATCATCGACCAGGGAACTGTGAAAACAAGATAACACGTATCATTGTATGATCTTGATTTATGTGGATAAGAAAGCAGCACACAATTCAATATAGACAGACGTCCATATTCATTCTTCCAAAAATGTAATATATATATATATATATATATATGCAAGTCAAAAAAGTTATCAATGTACGACGACTTTGAAATATACACAATAGAAAGAGATAGTTAAATCTCACCTGCAGCACGGGCTTGAGCTTGCTTTGAGCCAAGAAATCAATGCGTTTCGACACTGATTGGACTTCTCCGTGCACTTCCGTGGCAATAGATTGCAACATTTTTTCGTTTTCCTCCTAAATATTCAACAATTCTATCATATATATATATATATATATATATATAGAATTTCACATCGAATCGACGATGCCAGGGAGTCAATCGTCTTACTTTGATGGACGGAGCTGCCACATTTTCGCCCTTGACGTTGTCCATCCGTTCCAGTTTGGTATCTTGAGACAGCCCAAAGTCGATACCACTATGATACAAAAGTAAAGTAAAAAATATATATTCCAAATTCGTCTGATCTTTTTAAAGTACATGCTATGTCTAGCAGAAAAGGTCGATAAATTATTATAAACACAAAATATTATACAATAAAATAATATATTTTGTTATTATTTGCTATATTTTATGAATATATAATTTTAAAACCCAATACATGGCCAATTTGAACGACCTGAGTTAATATATCAAGAAACCCAAAGCATAATGTACGTTCGTGGGTAGCAACTACATATATAGCATGAATGTATACTACTGTACAGCTGTACAGTACTTACTTGTATTCATCATCGGGTAAGAACTAGATCCAGCAACCACACGAAGGATACCATATACCAAGTCCTTTATAAAGTATAAATAAACAGCAGTATCGTTATAACATGACAATACGTCATGACCCTTATGATTTTGCAAAACAACATGAAATGTGGCCGAAAAATCGATAAAAATACATTGTAACTTCGTGAAACCGGGTTGGCACACATGATCGGGACGCACATGATCTGAAGGTGCACGTCGAGGTTCTGGATCATGGTGCACACGACCTCCATGTCGGACGGGTTGTTGATGCGCGTGGCAGCGTCGGTGATGACAACCAGGCGCTTGTCGTACTTTTTGTTGTCGGTGCGACGGATCATCAGGTCGAGTGCGACGATAATGCCGTCGAGGACGTCCGCGGGGGTCTCGACCGACGCCGCTTCCATGGCGAGGACCTGCTTAGCGAGGTCGATAGTCACCGGCGCAACGGAGCTCACGACCGTCACGTGCTTGTAGCTGTTGTCGTCGTCCGCGTTCAACTGATTGTCGGTGCCTTCGGTACCGTACATGACGATCCCCACCTCGTCGTTCTTGCGAAACAACAGCTTTTGGTTCACGATGCCTTGGATCGCGCTCTTGGCGGCCTCGAAGCGACTGCCTACCTCCACTTTCCGGGTCACTTCCGCCAACGGACTGCGCATGGCGACGCTTGCGTCCAGCACAATCATGATCGCTTCCTACTCCACACACATGCATGAGGCATCGTCCACGAAGCACTCATGCTGACGACCTTGGTTCGAGACATGCTGCACGCTCCCAATTTGTTGAAATCCAACGAGATCCTGTCAAATCGGATGTTGACCTCATTCAATTCCAAAGGTCCCTTCATAAAATTAAAAAGTACTTCAACGTACTACGAACTTTTCACAAAATTTTCCGACTTCTATTTCAAATTCATTACTCAAAATTTCAGCAAATTGAAACGTAGAATCGACAGATCTCAATGTGGTGAAGAAATCTACGTCTCAGATTCAAGTTTGGTGATGAATTGGTCCAGAAATAGATATTTAACCTAGCGGTATTTTACATGGGCGCTTGGATATTTGGCCATAGGCCGCTGCGATGTATCTTGACTTTTGTATGTGACTCTTATCCGTATATATTATCCGGTGACATAAAACGCATGAAATCGGTATTTAACGTATTTGGGTTTAACTACATCAATTGAACGTTAAATAATAAAATCTCCACTCTTCGATTTGGCCAGTTGGACGGTTTTAGATGACGTGCACCATAACGTTATTAGAGTTTGGAAGTCTTCCATTTATTGTGCTTTGCACTTGTTTTGGCGTCGGTTTTACGTGGCTAAAAGAGTGATACATCTGCTGTAACTGTGTTACAAAGTTGAATAAATACCTGGTGTTTTAGCTAATTCACTGGGGTTTTATAAATACCTAATAACTCTGAGCAATAATAATCACATGTGATCCTGAAGTGACCAAAACACCATGGCTGTTATTCCATCGCGTAGTACGCGCTACCTGCATGTACTATGCGATGGAACAAGAAGATGGCGTGGTTTTCTACGATGTGGCACCATACGTACATCGCTGCACGGTAGAACACAGGCGCATGTCCTCGCTGTGTGTCATTTGTATTATCAAAAGTTGTTCATGATGGATGACCAGTGAATTGTGCAATTTGGTCCCGAGAATAGCAGATATAACTTCGATTTGCACTCTTCAAATGTGCAAAAGCGAGGGAATTGCATAAATCACCTCCCTAAATTTACATTCTGTAACGAAACGTGATCCTAATTCACTCTACGGATTATCTAAAACACTTACCACCCAGGTTTATGGTGTGAATAGCCAAAACGAGTGAAAAGCACAATAGGTATCATCCACAGGCAAATTTGTTCGAGAAAAATCACTGTCATAAAACCTCACATAGAACTGAAATTGCATTGTGACAATCTTGGAGTATGGACGACAGACAACGATGTGGTAGAGGACAACGAGTCCGAATCGTAAGACAGCATTAAGCTTTCAGCGGTGCACTGACGTCGAGCTTCTTAAGGAAGTCATTCATGTTCGGCCGTTTGAAGCGCCCCATGGCGAGGTCAATCTCCAACGCATCTATAGCCAAGCCATAACGGTCAACGGAGCACGAAAACGCTATGACGACTTAATGTCTGCGGAGTAAGTTGTCCTAGTAAGCTGTCCTAGTATATACCGTATAGTGTATATGCATTGCGACGGATTAATCCATTGCAACTCCTGTAATAACTAATACTTTTCTTGTAATAACTGATATTTACTTGTGAACATGTCGAATATACTTCAACTTTGTATGACGCAATGGATTAACAACATTTTGAGAACGAGTGTCGGCTCGTTGGGAAATATCACCTATCGCAATACATATACACAATACGGTAACTTTACTATTAAAATTAACAAAACCAGTGGCAGCTTAGCACGTTCCAGAACACGTGGAGAAAACATGGCCGGGGTCATTAATAGCAGCTTGAAAGTCAGTTGCTGAGTTGAAGTTGGCGGCATTGGCGTTTGAGCCAAGCAATTGGGCAAACGCTTGAGGTGACAACTCGTTGTAGCCTTGGCCCCCAGTGGTCCGCCAAGCATACGTAGCTATGACGGTGCGGCCATCGTAAGTGAAAGATGCGGTCTTGCCACAGTCGGCAGGGATATTCTCTCCCCCGATGTACAACCCACGGTTCAACGTGTCCTTGCTCAAGCTTGCATCGCAATCCGTGGTAGATGATGCAAACCAGTTCCAGCTCACTTTCTTGTCCACTCCAGGAGTTCCAGGTGATGGAGACAGCGTCGGTTGCTTAGTCGTGGAGGGGATGCTGGAAGGGGAACGCTTGGGGCTGGAGGTAGTCGAAGGCTTGGGGCTGGAGGTAGTCGAAGGATTGGGAGTGTTCGACGGCGATGGCGGCGGATTGCTGCCGCCAGCACCGCACCACTTGTACCAACCCGTGGAGTCACATTGCTCTTTGCTCCACCCAATGAAGCACACATTGCGGTCCGCGAAGTA